CTCAAATCATACCCAAATATATACTTGCCGTGTGTATTGCGATTCTAAACATAAAAACTAAACTATAAAGCTCTTAGAAGAAAACAGAAGATAATATGTTTAAAATTTGGGATAGAAAATTAACTATAAAAGAAAAAATATTATAAACAAGACCTTATTGAAATAAAAAATTTCTGGTTACAAAAAAACAATAAAATAAAAAGGCAATTCACAAAGTGAAAATATTTCAAAAACTACTTGATAAAGTACTCATATCTAGGACATAATAATAATAAGTACTAATATAATAAAATAAGAAATAATGACACAATTAAATTTAAAAATGGGCAAAATACTTGGACAGACACTTTTACAAAAGAGGATATATGAAGGGTCAATAAACACATGAAAAGATACTCAATATTGTTAGTCATCAGAAAAATGAAAGTTAAAACCCTCATGAGCGACTACTCCATACCCAGTAATTAAAAAGACCAGGACCACGAGAAGGTGAAGAGGATGAGGCGCAGTTGGATTCTATGCATCGCTGATGGGAATTATAATATTATGATTGTAAGAAACGTCATCAGTTTCTTAAAACCCTGTGAGACTGCAATTTTATTTGTAGGTAGTTAAATAAAGAAAAGAAAACATAGGTCTATAGAAACAGTTGTTTGCAAGGTTGTTCATTGAAACTACAGAATAGCAAATTATCAGAATTAACTCAAATGCTCATCAGTAGTGGAAGAAATACACAGTTATGCTATAGTTATTCAGTGGAACTCACCAACACATGAACAACGTATTTAAATCTCACAACATTATGCTGAGCAAGAGAAGCCAGACACAAAAGAATGCTTACTCTAGAATTCTATTTCTATGAAGATCAAAAACAGGTAAAACAAATTTATTGTAATAGAAATTACAATCGTGTTTGCTTGGTGGTGGGGTTGACTGAAAAGGTACAAGAAGACACTTCAAGGGTCATGGCAGTACTGTCTATCTTGACTATGGTGATTGTCAAGACCCAACGAACAGTACACTTAAGATTTGTGGATTTTACTGAATATAAGTATAACTTAATATAAAGAATCTGAAAGCTATATAGCAAAGCAGATGTTCTCAATGATTACTATGAGTGCTGACATAAATTAGTACACCTAATTGGTAAACAGTATTGCTATATTAATTAGGAGTTATTAAGAGCATTCATATCTTATGGCCCATTCAATAAATTTCCATTCAATAAATTTATACTAAGAGGATACATTCTGAATTTGAAGGTAAATTACTTTTATGGTTGTTATTTGCAATAAATAAAAATTTAAAACAAATTTTCAATTATAAAGGGATGTATATTAAGCTATAATATGTTAGTTATATACATTAGGTAAGTAATTGAATATTGTGGACTAAGCCATTAAAATTTTTATGAAAACATCATAATAACATGAAGACATACTTATAATATTATGTTAAATTGGGGGGGGGATGTTGTTGGGAGGAAGAATTGTATACATCAGCAGTCTTGATACTACCAGTGATGGCGAACCTTTTGAGTTCAGCGTGTCAGCATTTTGAAAAACCCTAACTTAACTCTGGTGCCGTGTCACATATAGAAATTTTTTGATATTTGCAACCATAGTAAAACAAAGATTTATATTTTTGATATTTATTTTATATATTTAAATGCCATTTAACAAAGAAAAATCAACCAAAAAAATGAGTTCGGTGTCACCTCTGACACGCGTGTCATAGGTTCGCCATCACTGTACTAGGCTATGCAATGACTTTCCAAAGATATATACAAGTATATAAAGTTTTTTATTTTTTTGTTTTGTTTTTTTTTTAAAAAAAATCTATTTTTATTGATTTCAGCGAGGAAGGGAGAGGGAAAGAGAGATAGAAACATCAATGATGAGAGAGATTCATTGATTGCCTGCCCCCTGCCCACCCCCACTGGGATCCAGCCCACAACTCAGGCATATGCCCTGACTGGGAATTGAACCTAGACCTCCTAGTTCATAGGTCAATGCTCAACCACTGAACCATGTTGGCCGGGAGGTATATAGAATTTTAAAATAAAATTCTAGGACTTTGACTCCCATATATAATCTTTCATAAAATTGATATGACCTGAGAATGTGCAGCTTTAAGCAGGTTCTCCTTTTCTAACTTGACAAAAGAAGCGAAGCCTCTCTTCTCTCCTGAATCTATGGTCATTGTCCTGGGCTGCTGTAAGGAAGTCTGAGGCCCCTAACAAAGGATCACTTGACAATATTGACATTGGTATTGAAAAGACCATTGTTAATAAAGTAATCATCTTTTTCAAGGGCAATTAACCTATTCAAATCAGTTAGCTTCTCATTCTTTGCTTTCAAAAAATTGAAAAAGGATCTACTTGAGTTGTTAGGAGATAAATCATTAAAAATAATTTTTTGTGGATGCATCACTTATGTGACTTGTGACACAGAACTTCAGAAAGAGTTTGAAGAATTGAATGATATGTAAACATGGCTTTTCAGCAGCATCTGTTCAATAAATGGGAAAACACTGATGCTGAACTTACATTCACCTATCAATAAATAATAATTATCACTTGTCACTGGGTATGAATTAAAATGAAAAGGTCCATTCATGTCATTAAAAGATTCATTGCTAAAAGTTTGACTTTAAAGCCTAATAATTATTCATTAAACTTTTAATATATTTATGATCTTTTGACCAATATAATAATAAAAATTACAATGGAAAAGCATTACAAATTTAAAAGAAAATGCAACCTTTGGTTATAAAAAATGAAAGCAAAATATCAATGCATATTCACTTTTTAGTTGCAAAGAAGAATCACTTCATCAATAAAAGACTTTAAGTATAGTTATAGATTTCCTTCGGATATATGTTTATGGAAATATGTAGCACCTCTAGAAAAAAAGTGGAATGGGAACTTGGATTCAAAAAAAACACACAAGAAAATAAATTTCAATTTATTAAATAAAAGATTTTTTCCCCCAATGGATATTAGTTATCAAGTCTCTTCTATTGGATATAGTTTCTTAAATGTGTAACAATTTTATTTAAACTGTCAATATTTGCAATGTCCCTTAAAGTTCATACTTTGCAACTATTTAAAATTATGACAAAAAAATTTATATGTCAGAATAAATATTTCTAAGTATGTATGGAGTTTTGCAAAATTTGTTTGGGGCTATAGAAGCCAAAACCATTTTTAAGCAGCTCACGAATATAATTACAATTTTATTTTTAAAATATTTAAACAAATAAACAAACCAAAATATTATGATCTTCAAAAAGAGTGGAAAGATTACTCCAAAATAATAATGGTTATATTTGAATACTGGGAATAAAAATTTTTCCTCTTCTAATTTATTTATTGGTTATATATATTTTTCTCAATTATTTTATTAGTATGAATTAGTCTTATAATAAAAATATACTTAAGACATTTAGAAATAATAAGGTATACATTTAAACTCAGTGACCTTTGAGTAAAGACCTTAGGAGGTCTTATGGGACAAAGTCCACAAGTTTTAGTATTTCCACCTGTACTAGCCATTTACTTCTGCGGTTGCCTGGAGTTTGGGGTTATTAAGGGATTTTTGTCAGTGATACAAATGACTGGGTTTGCCAAAAGGCTGTTGTCTGTCAATGAAAACATTTTGACATCTGCCACACTTTCTCTTTTTACCTGACGTGTTCAATCTAAAACAGATTGGAAAGTTTGCAAAATTTAGATTCTGTTGTGTCTTTACTTGAGCTTTCTCCTTCACAAAGTTATGATATTCTTACTCTGACCAAAGAACAGTCACTCACCAGGTTACACAAGCATTAGTGAGGTTAATCAGAATCTAGATCTAAATTGTTTCACTGCTCTCTGAATTCCTCCACCCAGAGTGAAAGACGAAATGAATCAGGAAGAGTAAGACTACTAACAAGTGAATGAAAGAAAATCATTGCACAATAGGATATCCAGGCAGGCAAATTTCAGATCTGAGGATTCAGCGCATTGTGTCAAAGGAAGAGCACTGGCCAGCTTTGATAGGATCTACAAATAGGACTGAGAGGCCAATAGCAGCTGTGCTTCAAGCCCAGAGTCAGCAGAGGAGAAGAGTTTGAGGATGAATGAGGAATAACATGCTCAAGGGAGAAAAAAAATATATACCAAACACCTAGAGGGCACACTATTTTCATGGCTCTTCTCCAATACTGAGGATGAAGCACTTGAACTCTGAAAAACTGTTGCTTCAAAGTTTAAAAAATAAAATAGGTAACAAGGGAGGTGCTATGGAGGAAATAATTTTTTCTTCATTTTTTTAATGAAGTAAAGGAGACCACAATGGGCTGATGAAGGAACATTAAAGCAAGTTGTATTAGAGTAAAATGACTCTTTTAACACCATATTCTCATCCACCAATTTAGTTCTACACTCATATTTTCAGTCTCAAGTGCTAAGTGTGCTAAGTGTGATTGTATATTTGAACTGATTTCTTTTTTTAAAGTCTGGTAACAACTTCTTTCTTATATCTTACAAATGAAAAATAAAGGATAAGTATATTATAAAAAAACAAACAAAAACAACAACCATTTGGCTTTGATATGTAGAATTAAAGGACAATCATTTCATCTCTCATTTCTAGGGGGCATTTTAGTCCATCTGTTGGCTCATCCCCAGCCTTCAGTGCAGGTCTGCAATTCCGAGAGTTCATGGAACATGATACTCTTAAATAACATTCATATGAATATGAACTACCTTTTCACTTCTCACCCAGTAAACTTTCATTATAAAGCAATAGAAAATGAAAATGGTGTGTCCTTCACAAGCTATTAGAAGAGTGTTGGTAATTCCCATAAGCAGAAATGTAACTTAGTGCAGTGATTCCTGCCAACCATTTGGTCCCACGTTTCCCTGCAGGTGACCCTGCTGGCAAGAAAGAACACACATGCTCAAGGCCACTGAAACACTGTGACTCGGTTTCTGCAAAAAGATCAAAAGTCATTACCTGAATCCTCCGGGGATCTGTCTTCAAGTCTTGGGAGCTTCAGGTGATTCCAGCTCCTTCCAGAGGCAGCTGTCACTGAAGCATGCTCTGTTCTCAACAGTCCAAAAGATGTTGCAACCAGAAATTTCTCAACTGAAGCAGATTAATTATGACTTCAAATACAACAGATGCCGCCCAGGCAACCTTGTTAGGTGAGTTCTTAACCAGTGATGAAAAAAGGGTTGCAATGAACTAAAATCCCTGCACCTGCCAATCCAGTCCCGGAGTTTTGTGCCTCAGGGGTTAGATGAATTGGAAGCTTCTCGGCAGACTATAGACTCTCAGTTCAGAAAATAGTTTTCACCCAAAGATGGATGCAATAACCCAGTCATAGGAGCATCTCTATAAAAGGTCTATAATCGCCCTGCATCATCATCCAACTATAATACCCAACATGCTGTTTATTTCCAATTAATGCTTTGACTTCCCTAAATTTCCTCTACCTTATTCAGTAAACTGGGTATTTGAACTGGCAGGAAATGCAGAAAATGTATCCAGTTCTTTCAACTGAAGCCTAGAATGACTGTGTCTCATTCAAGATCTCCTGGTAGCTAAAGGCAAAAAACAGGCATTTTTCTTCTCCTAACCAGTCTCTATCCTACCACACAAGCAGCTCCTACGTCCGTTCTGGGTGGAGGTTTGATGTTAGATAACCTGTAAGGAATTTTAGACCTGCATAGATTTCAATTTATTGTTTTCATAATTATGAGGCTACAGATTTAATTTGGGTGAAATACACCACCCAAAGAATGAAACTGGACTCCTATCTTTATATCACAAAAATTAACTCGAAGTAGGTTAAAGACTTAAATGTAAGACCTGAAATCATAACCCCCCCTAAAAAAAAAAAAAAAAAACAAAGGAAAAAAAAACTACTTGCCATAGGTCTTGATAATGAGTTTTTTGATATGATACCTAATGCACAAGCAACAAAACTAAAGGCAGGTAAGTGTGACCACGTTAAACTAAAAAGCTTCTGCACAGCAAAAGAAATAAAGTGAAGAGACAACTTAAAGAATGAGAAAAATATTGAATATCACATATTTAATAAAGGGTTAATATCCAAAATATACAAATAATTCATATAACTCAATAGCAAAAATCCAAATAATCCAATTTAAATATGGGCAAAAAAACTGAACAGACATTTTTCCAAAGAAGGTATACAAATGGCCAACAAATACATGAAATGATGATCAACATCACTAGTCATTAGAGAAATGAAAATCAAAACCACAAGATATCACCTCAGTCCTGCTGGAATGGCTATCATCAAAACGACAAGAGATAACCAATGCTGGTGAGGTGTGGAGAAAATTAACCTTTGTCCACTGTGGGTGGGATTATAAATTGGTACAGCCACTGTAAGGATCCTCAAAACATTAAGTAGAACTACTATATGATCTAGCAATTCCACTTCTGGGAATATAGCTAAAGGAAATGAAAATATTAATTTAAAGAGATATCTGTATCCCTGTTCATAGCAGCATTATTTATAATAGGCAAGACATGGAAATAACCTAAATGTTCATCCACAGATGAATGCATAAAGAAACTGTGGTATAAATATATATAATACATTATTATTAAGCCATAAAAACACTGCCATTTGAGACAAGATGGATAGATCTTGGGGGCCTATGCTAAGTGAAATAAGTCAGACAAAGACAAGCACTCTAGGATCTCACTTATTTATGGAATCTAAGAGGAGGAAAAAAAACCCTCTGAAAAAGAGATCAGATTAGTGGTTGCCAGAGAGGCATGGGAAGGAAGAGGGGAATTTGGAGGAAGGTGATCAAAGGTACAAACGCCCAGTTGTAAGGTAAGTACTAGGATGCCAACTTATTGTGGCAATCATTTCATAATATATGTAAGCCAAACCTTCATGCTGTATACCTGAAACTCATAGTGATGTATGCCAATTATATCTCAATGAAACTGGGAAAAAATTGGAGAAATTTATCTCATCCATTACTTATTACAGTGTTGGCTTCCTCCCTTCTCTCTCCTTTTGTTTCCCATTAATATATTCTATCTGCTCATTTGTTTATCTTCCTTTTATTTCATTCAGCTTAAATACTTAAAAGTACAGACATTTAGGTTTTCTGAAACAAATTCTTAGTGTGATTTCTGATTGAAAATTCTTTTCCATTAAGGGAAAACATAGACTATATATATATATATATATATATATATATATATATATATATATAATATATGTATATATATTATATATATATATGTTATATATATTATATATGTATTATATATATTTTTAAATATATTTTTATTGATTTCAGAGAGGAAGGGAGAGGGAGAAGGAGAGAGAGAGTTAGAAACATCAATGATGAGAAAGAATCATTGATTGGCTGCCTTCTGCATTCTCCCTACTAGGCATCGAACTCACAACCCAGGTATGTGCCCGTGCCTGGAATCGAACCTGGGACCCTTCAGTCTGCAGGCTGATGCTCTATCCACAGAGCCAAACCAGCTAGGGCAATAAAAGATTTTTTTTTTTTTTTTTTTTTTTTTTTTAGAAAAACAGAAAAAGCATTAACACACATACTCAAAGTTAATTCTTTGCGTAAAACTCAAAGTGTACAACTTAGAAAAATAGTACTACAGAAGGATGACTTAAACAACAAAAACATTTTAAAAGCCTTTATTTAGTACTTTTAGAGATTTGTAATGCACATTATCTTTATAGACAATTCTGGATGAAATGGAAATTTTTTTTTTTTTTTTTTTTTTTTTTGTTAAATCAAAGTGACCGATAACTCTAGGAACAATAGAGGACCTGAATATATCTTAGAAGAGATTTAAAAGGCAGTTAAAGTTATCATCATGACGAGAACCAAGATGGCGGCATAGGTTAACACCGGAGTTTGCTGCTTTGAACAACTACTTCAAAAGTGAAACCAAAAAACGGAAGGGACATCACCCAGAACCACAGGAACGCTGGCTGAGTGGAAGTCCTACAACTGGGAGGAAAGAGAAACACATACGGACACTCAGAGGAGGCGCAGTGCTGTAGTCAAATTCTGAGGTGCGGAGTGCGCGGAGCGGGCTGGCGGCGGAGGGCGCGGTTGGCATTTTCAATCCGGAGGGAGTCGCAGACTCTGAGCTCCAGATCCGGGCGAGTCTTTAGGGACCCAGACTCAAACGGGAGAAGCGGGACTGTCTGGCTTCGGTCAGAGCGAGTGCAGCTTTCTCTCCGAGCTTTGCAGCGGGTGCTGGGACTCAGAGAGGCAGAGCCCCTGGGGACAGGACTGAGAGCCGCCATAACTGCTCTCTCCGGCCCACCCTGTTGATCCTGTGCGACCCGCCCCGCCCAAGCCCTGCACACAGGCATTTGCCGGATAGCCTCAGGCAAAGGCTAGATTAGCACCTCCCTAGAGGACAGAAGTTCTCTCACTGCTGACACAGCTGATTCTCATAGCCACTTGGCCTGGAGGTCAAACCCTCCCTGGAATTAGCTACAACAATCAAGATTTAACTATAAGACTGCGAAAAAAGACCACTAGGGGGTGCACCAAGGAAGCATAACAAAATGCGGAGACAAAGAAACAGGACAAAATTGTCAATGGAAGATATAGAGTTCAGAACCACACTTTTAAGGTCTCTCAAGAACTGTTTAGAAGCCGCTGATAAACTTAACGAGATCTACAAGAAAACTAATGAGACCCTCGATCTTATATTGGGGAACCAACTAGAAATTAAGCATACACGGACCGAAATAACGAATATTATACAGACTCCCGACAGCAGACCAGAGGAGCGCAAGAATCAAGTGAATGATTTGAAATGCGAGGAAGCAAAAAACACCCAACCGGAAAAGCAAAATGAAAAAAGAATCCAAAAATGCGAGGATAGTGTAAGGAGCCTCTGGGACAGCTTCAAGCGTACCAACATCAGAATTATAGGGGTGCCAGAAGATGAGAGAGAGCAAGATATTGAAAACCTATTTGAAGAAATAATGACAGAAAACTTCCCCCACCTGGTGAAAGAAATGGACTTACAGGTCCAAGAAGCGCGGAGAACCCCAAACAAAAGGAATCCAAAGAGGACCACACCAAGACACATCATAATTAAAATGCCAAGAGCAAAAGATAAAGAGAGAATCTTAAAAACAGCAAGAGAAAGAAACTCAGTTACCTACAAGGGAATACCCATACGACTGTCAGCTGATTTCTCAACAGAAACTTTGCAGGCCAGAAGGGAGTGGCAAGAAATATTCAGAGTGATGAATACCAAGAACCTACAACCAAGATTACTTTATCCAGCAAAGCTATCATTCAGAATTGAAGGTCAGATAAAGAGCTTCACAGATAAGGAAAAGCTAAAGGAGTTCATCACCACCAAACCAGGATTATATGAAATGCTGAAAGGTATCCTTTAAGAAGAGGAAGAGGAAGAAAAAGGTAAAGATACAAATTATGAACAACAAATATGCATCTATCAACAAGTGAATCTAAGAATCAAGTGAATAAATCATCTGATGAACAGAATGAACTGTTGATTATAATAGAATCAGGGACATAGAAAGGGAATGGACTGACTATTCCTGGGGGGGAAAGGGGTGTGGGAGATGCGGGAAGAGACTGGACAAAAATCGTGCACCTATGGATGAGGACAGTGGGTGGGGAGTGAGGGCGGAGGGTGGGGCGGGAACTGGGAGGAGGGGAGTTATGGGGGAAAAAAAAAGAGGAACAAATGTAATAATCTGAACAATAAAGATTTAATTAAAAAAAAAAAAGTTATCATCATGAAAAAGACTCACACTTTTTTTTAATCTTTATTTTTCAGGTTATTATAGATGTTGCTCTTTTTCCCCCCATAGCTCCCCTTCACCCGGTTCCCACCCCGCCCCAGGCCCTCACCACCCCACTGTCCGTGTCCATACACACTGCATACATGCATATAAGATCTTTGTCCAATCTCTTGCCGCACCCTCCCCACACTCCCTTCCCCCCAAGAATTGTCAGTCTACTCCATTTCCATGCCCCTGATTCTATTACATTCACCAGTTTATTCTGTTCATCAGATTTTTTATTCATTTGATTTTTAGATTCACTTGTTGATAGACATGTACTTGTTGTCACTTTGTTTTTCAT